GTATGTGAAATTGAGATCAAAATTTATAATTAAAATTTTGGGGTGGACGTTTAGATATGAAATTCTGATTGCTAATTTAAATTTCACATATGTGAATTGCAAATTCACATTGATTTCATTTTCGCGCACAACAGTATTATATAATAATGTATTGTTTTAAACAACAACTACTAACCTCATCAAAAAAGGCTTTTCCTGGATTACTTGAATTGTTTAAACTTTTTAATACTACTCCTTGCCCTCCCTCTAAATAACTAAATTCCTTTTTATTTTCGTCATAATCAATTATTCTTCCTCTTGTCCATATAGCAGTAAAAATCGAACTAAATCCACCTTCTGTCAACTTTGTTACATATTCAAATTGCTCAAAAGGTATCCATTCTAAAATACAGTCTGGCAGGGATGATGTAATTTGACATTGTTGAATAAAATCATCAATTATGTTATTTCCAGATGTCCAAGTGGTGAAAAGACTCTGTAGCTGTAAACTAATACAACCTTCACAGAATCTATCAGAGTATCTTGTCAATTTACACTTGTTACATTCTTTTGGTTTGCCATTTTTATTTAGTACATTCTTTAATTCAAACTCATAAATAAACCTTTCCTTACAATGTTCTTTTTCATTTTCAGAAAGCTCCCTGTTTTTTTTTACCAATGAAAAAAAATAATCTTTCACACTTTCTTCATCAGAATTAACCACTGCATTGCTATACATTTCATTATAAAATTTATATACAAATTTCTTTCTTTCTGGTGATGATGACAACAATCGGTCAACATATGACATTATATAAAACTATAATATATAAATTCGACTTTAGATTTTTTTTTTCTTTGAGAATAATGCCGCCGTGTTACTGTTCCTTTCTAAATGTAGATTTTTATATTTTGTGTAATACTTTTTTCCCTTTTTCTTTTTTTTTTACCAAATTTGAATATTCTGTTGTAAAGAAGTCTCGTTAATATTAAGACTTGATTCAGTGCAGTTACGGTAATGAATCACGAATCCTTAAACATTTTGTTGCTCAACTTTAGTAAACTGAATTGTTGGGGAAAGTTGAGATCAAAATCAAAGGGTAAAACTTTGTAAAGAATCGTTTTTTTTTCTTTTTTTGCTACGTTGGCTTGAAATTAATTTGTTAAATTGAAAATATTTTCGTTTCCCAAAAATGATGAATGGTTGTGGTTATTTTACATCATCGTATCATGCGAATTCCCATTGCTATCTATTTAGTAACCGAATAATTTATTTATTTTTGCTCAAAACGTCAGGGTTGAGAAAAGCAGATACTTGACTAAAAAGAAATCGTAATTCGCTTTAGTTTTTTTTTTGCGCAGTGTCTACCGCTGTCTACCGTTAGGTTTTCATCTTGTTTTGACATTTCAGATATTGCCTTATCTTGGAGCCTTTATCCCAGGTTCAATGTTGTCAAAGACTTGTCACCAACGTGTTAATATATTTTCGAGTCCGGGATCTAATAACATCATTATTATCGGCCAATTTAAATTCAATGATCGATAAATAAACATTTTTTTTGATTTTTAACCATTTGAGAGAGTGTGTGAATGGTTTAGATAGGAAAATTATTTCAGAGAAAACAAATGAAATCCATTGATGAATCTTTGCAAAGGATTTTTTTTTTTTTGGTTAATTTTTTTAACAAACGAAATTTGTAAATAGCAATAAACTTGGAATAAAAAAAAATTCCAAGTGACACATTGACCTTTAATCTGGGATAAATAAATAAACATCAGGACAAAAAGATCTTTTTTTTATAATCAAGAAAAACAGCGTAGTTGTTTTTTTTAAACATCTTTGATTCACATGAGAGTACTTCTTTGAAAAGAATCTTGAGCAACTCCTTTTGTATATAAATAAATAAAAAACAAACAAACAAACAAATTTTTTAACGAGTAAAATAGAAATATTGATAATATGACTGGCTAAT